TACAGCTACTCTGATTCACCAGGATTGTGACTTTGCTTCTGATTTCTTGCTTGCCCAAAATCACTGAGAAAAGCTTATACTTGTTCTTCAGCCAGAGACCTGAGTCCTTAGGGAATTAATACAAGAGACTTTTGGTGGCAGTATATCTGGCTCCTGACTGTACCAGCTGGTTCCCGGGCCATATTCTTAAAATAGAAAAATAAATGATAGCTCTGCCAGGACTACATTTCGTATAATCCAGAGAATATGTGTTTAAGTGTCTGAAGGAATCAGCCACAGGAATCTTGATGGTACCAGCCAAGATATCTGAGGTCCAAGGGTGGCAAAACCCAGGGACCATCCAGTACTCATGGGGGGATTCCAGCTAAACAGAAGCTGGGATTTGGACATGTCCGGGCAGGTCTGCTGAATACTCAGGGCAGGCATGCCTGGAGTCTATTTACATGACAACTTTTGGCTGAAGAATGATTGTTTGTTGATCTGAATGGAAAGTGGAATGGGAAGAAGAGAAATGTGTCTGTCTTAGGATGCAGGTTTTGAAAAATGTTTTTTAATAAATGAGTTTATAAATTAAATAATGTATCACCTTTTTGTATCTGGTAATTGTACAATTTACATTAGGATTTTTGCTAGTTTGGAAATAATTTATTACTATCTTTAGAAACCTATAGCCCTCATGTAGGAAATCCTATCAAAATTAAAGACAGATTTAATCTAGTTTACTACCAGGGATTGTGTTGGGTGTGTGAATGAAAAGACAAAATGCATGTCTTATGGCTTTGAAATGTTGGGTGACTGATTTTTTTCTAAATTTCCATGAAAAATAATGTATCTCAATTTGTTATTTGAACTGTGAACTTTTGCTATAGCACCTAGATCTTCCTGAAGCTCTGTTAAATATTAACGTGGCTAAAATAGTTTAAAATTTAAAATAAATTGTTTACACTTGTGCTTCTGGTCTTGATTGGTGCCACTCCTTATTCATTGCATTTTCAAGGTAGAGGCTGGTTGATGAGCTACAATTTCACTCTTTCTTTTTCTTTCTTTTTTTTTTTTTTTTTTGTTCAGGCCATGCAGCCTGCAGTGGAGGAGGAGAGTCTTAACCACTTGACCACCAGGCAAGTCCGTCTTTTTTCTTTAATTAATAACAATTATTACAGTCCCAGAGGACACTTATTCGCTGGCTGTTTTTCATGTGCAAGGCACAGATCTAAGCACTTTACACATTTTATTTCTTTTAATCTTCAGAACACTGTTATGAAGGAGACACTTTTATTATCCTGGTTACATACATGGGAAAACTGAGGCCTAGAGAGGTTAAATTCCTTGTCTAATTAATATATAGCAAGCAGTGGGGAGAACTGGGGTTTTGGTGTTTGAAGTGTTTTATCAAAACTACTAATTACTCTAAATTTTAAGATGGTTATGGAAAAGAAAAGGCTGTTTCTCAGTTCAGGTATGGTTTAGGTGTCAGAAATTCTCTCATTGCCAATTTTGATTCTTTAGCCCTTGCGAACTCACTGGAATTATTTTCCAGTCTTTTGGTCATACAAAATGATTTTTTAAATGACTCTATTTCAGTTGCTTTCCTAGAGATTGGGAAAAGCAGTCTACTGTGCACCTCTCCTTGAGAATGACTTTTTAAATCTTTAAACTTTTTATTTGGATATTATTTCAAACTTACAGAAAAGTTGCAAAAATAAAGATAGTATTAAAGATACCCATACACCTTTTACTCAAATTCACTTATTGTTAATTAACATTTTACTTCTTTTATCATTTGTGTGCTCTCTCTGATTACATATGGGGGAAAAAAACCTATATAAAGCTATATTTTTTCTTTCTAAATCACTTAAGGGTAAATTACATACATTTTGGTCTTTCCCCCTAAATACTTCAGTGTATCTTTCCTAAGTATAGGAATATTCTCTTACTTGTATATTTCAGTAGTCAATTTCAGTAAATTTGGTTTGATACAATGCTTTCATCTATGGACAGTGTTCTAATTTTGTCAGTTGGACAATAATGTTATATACAGGGCTTTCCCCCTTGGGTACAGGATCCAGTCTAAGGCCAGGTACTACACTGAGCTGCATTGTTTGAGAATGATTCTAATTATGCCAGATTTTGTTTTTGCTATACCCATACAGCATGTAAAAATCTTAATTGAAGTGGACCTCTGATGAAAATTAGACCCCTGATAGATTTTTCATTATTACTTGATATTTTGCAATTCCTAATGATGATTAGGATGAACTCATACTAATTAAAGCTAGTTACTAGCAACTGTTTCTATTAATTACTTTATATACCTAAACGAATTAGATTCTTTTGAGTCATAGCTGAAATTCTAACAGTAGCCTAATGGTATTAATCTAATTTTAATTTTGAAAGAGACTTCTATTTTTTGGTACTAATTAGCCTAACGCAGGATTACTGGAAAAGTCGGAAACCCCAAGAAGGAAAATGAGATACTGTCTGGTGTTTGAGAGGAATGATTGATGCTGACAAGTATGAAATAAAAATTATAAATAAATAATCCGGATGTTGTTTAAAAGGCAAGCTGTTGATTTTATCACTCCCCCTTGCCAAGACACACATTGGTGCCTGTTAAATTTGACGTTTTTACTCTGATGTCAATGGCAGCTTTAAAGCATCAGTAGCATCCCAGGATGAGGTAATAAATCTGTCCCAGGAAGAGATGTGAAACCATGTCTGCCTGCTGTTTCCTTACCCAAGAGCCCAACCCTAGTGGCAAGCCAGCAGCTCCTGGGCACTACAGAATTTACCATCCTTGTCTTTCCTCGGTTAATGGTGGCCTGTTTGTCTTCTGCACCTCTTTTCCCCTTTTCTCTGGGAACCGGGAGTAGAGGGCTAATGAACCCAACAGGCTCCTAATCATTATACAAACTCTGCCCACCCAAGAGGCCCCTCTGCCTTCACCAAATTTCTCATTTGGTGACCACAGTTGAGAGCCAACAGTCTCCTACAGTCATTTTTAATAATTATTTATATTAAAGAGGGTTTTCACAAAAGGGATAAACTTTTGAAAAGAACTTGGGTCACAGTCTTTGAAAGAAAGAACATATTTGCTTAGCAATGTTTGCAATATTGACTGTTGTTTGCACTTGCCCTCCTACAGTCCCAATCCTCACTTCTTTGCATCTCGTACTTGATATTTTCTAATATACTTAGGCAATGAATTAGCACACGAGTTGGAAACTTGTGATTATATAGTTAAGTATCACTATGTAGTACAATGTATTACAGGGACAAACAATTGATGCCCCAGATGCCAATCTGAGACTCTGATAGTGTGACTTGGCTGTCTAATGTAAACTGCAAAATATTAATACATGTCCTCTTACCTTGAAAGTGTCATTATTTACTCTCCATGAACCATGGACATCATTGTGGAAATCCACCCCTGCCCCACCCTCACTTCACCAAGTCTCTAGAATTCCAACACTATACTGTCTTTATTTCTGTAGTTGATATTCTGACTTCTAGGATGTGCTGTCATATATTAGTCCATTTTCACTTTTCCTTGTGATGTGCTTTGTTTTTTAAAGATCTAAGATCCACTGTATTTAGATGAGGAAAGATAAAGGGCACCTCTGGCTATGGAGATGAGTCTGGAGCAAGGATAGCTAAGATGGTGTTTTTAAAGAGGAAACTTTAGACTTGGTACATTGCAGGGAAGAACATCTACAGTGTCCTCCAGGGCTGAGTGGTAGGTATGCCATCACTCCTACAAAGGGGTGGCTGGACCTCAGATTCCTTTATCTTTTGAGCTCCACTGAGGTGATCTGTAATTTACCTTGGAGTTCCTACTGCCCTGGCCGCTTAATTTCAGTGATAACTCTATTTCTCAGCAAATGTAACATACACATTTTTACTCAAAAGCCCACATAACTTCTTTTACATCATCAGCAATTGAGACCATTGGCTTTTTAAAATTTTTTTATTTTTTCACTCATCATTTATTTACAAATACACATTATAACTTTTATATACATTGCACATTTACATGGTAGAAAAGTACAAAACTATATATTTAAATGAATTTATATTTAACTTGCCATGTTTGAAAATATAAAATTGCATCAGAAAAAAGTATTATGAAAAGCAAGAAACTTGAACTGATAAAGCTTTGATATAACTTTTCATGACACATTGGGTGAAAAGGACTAATTTAAAAGGTACAGCAGACTAGCTTAAAGGAAACACCTAACAAAAGGTTGAATGTGTAGCATTCCCCTTCCTTCAGGCTCCTGACACCCATATCACTCAATTTCTTTGGATCTGTAACATCTTAAAAGTACATTATTAGAAACCCAACATTGCTATCAGCCCCTCTCACAAATGTCTTCATCACAACAAGAGAACGGAAGTAGGAATTTCCTCAAAGATGTATCCTCTGTACCTTCTATCTGAGTCAGAGTTATAATGCCTTTTGGTCAGTCAAGATTCCTTGTAAACAAAACCCGAGGGATCACGTATGTACAGAACAGGCAGCAGAGAATCCAATAAATAAACATGACAGAAACTGACATGCAAGTTTGTTATAATGGAAAAGAGTCTAACAACAGTGAAATGAAGGGAGACAGATGAGTGAGTGAATAGTAAGGAATGGACTTAAATGGTTTACAAGGAAAAAAAAAAGCTTTTACTTTACAAGCAAGAGACCTCACAATAAATAACAACTGCTCTTCCTTTCACGAATAAATTTCTTCAAAAACAAGGTGTACAGTCAACCAGACATTTTATGTATAAATTATAAAACATGACACAGTATAAATAAATGTCTACAAGTCTCAACTATGGGCCTCATCCAGTAGACCTCACAATGACTGCCTCTCCGGGTCCAATGAGTAACAAGGTGGCCTGGGAGAGAGCTTTAGGACAAAGGTCCTTTATGTATAGTTTTCCCCCCAAATAAATAAGCATACACTTATTTACAGTATGGACAATATATTTTTTCTTTTTCTTTTTCTTTCTTTTTTTTTTTTGCCCAAAGGCTATGTCAACACTGAACATTGGTGGAGGGTTTACCACTCTAGAATGGAAGATATAGGAAAGCTGTAGTCCTGGTCTTCATCTTCCTCCTCTTCCTCGGTGTCTTCCGAAATGGCTAGATGGGGGAATACAGGGGAGCTGCTGTTTAAATATGGACAACAACAGCGCAGAAGCAGCTCAGTGTACGTTTTCAAAGCCCTCTGAAACAGCCATATTACAGCGTTGCATTTTTATGTGACTTGCAGTAAGATGCTTTTTTTTGTTTTGTTTTTGGCATCTGCTGTTATGCAATAAGTTTAAAAAAAAACTTAAAAAAAAAAACACCATTATCTATGAAGTCAAAAACTGCAGAAAGTTCTGAAGAATCAATGGCTCAGGTTTTACGGGCAGATTCCTGAAATTAGATAAAAAGCGCTCTTGTGTTCTAGGTATAACTGCTTTGGGTCCTTAATTCAGAGTTAGTAGAGGCAGCTGCACAAAGCAGCAGCCCCTGTGTGATAACAGAAAGCTGTCTTTGAAAAAGAAAAAAAAACAACCTTTGAAGCAGTTAGTTTAGATTCAAGTGTTAATAAAGCAAACAGCAAAGCACACTACTAAAGCAAAAGAAATTAGGGGCAAATGACTGCAGATAGGTTTTTAGAGGCGACCCCCTTGATGATCATCAGACAAATCCTAAAAGCCCAGAAACATTCCAGGCAGTTGTTCTGTGGCTCGCCGAACTGCTGTTAAAATTTAGCAGCTACCTAACTTAAACAGAAGTGGGCTCATATGGGGAGGTTTTCGTGCTTTTTACGTCTCCATTCCCTAGGGCTTGCCTGGGAAAGCCTTAAATTGCAGCAAGGTTAGAAATTGCACTTACAGTTGCAAGATCCGGAGTGCTTCACTTCCAGCAGCACGCCTGAAGAGCAGGCCGCTTCCTTCATGGCACACTCGCTGGCGTAGGTGGCATTGTCACTGGCACAGACAGGCTCCTCAGACTTACTCTCAGGGCACAGCTCATCGCAGAGGGAACACCGGCCTCTGCCAACCTTGAAATCCCATAAACACTTTTTTCCACCAGTGCACTGGATATCCTCACAGGACTTTGCTTCTAGGATATAATATACCTGTGATGAGTAAATCCATTTCCCCCTTGCCCCCTTTCTCTAGTCTCCTATCAATAAATGTAAACATATAACATATCTTATTACTCACTCATGGGGGTGATGGAGATATTGTGCAAAAATGCTCTATAAATAAAACCAAAACACACACACACACACACACACACACACACACACACACACACACCCCAGTTTCCTACATACTATATTAGTACATGAAAATACTGTAGCATTTTTTTGGAACAGAATTTCACGGTATCCTTGAGTTAAATATGTATTTGATTATTTCCCATAAGTGGGATCTTTTAAAAAAAGAAAGAATTCTATCAGTTATCAGAATCTGATAACAGATTTTAGGAACTGTTAAGTAATTATTTCTTGCTTCCAGCAAGTCTAGCACTTAAAAAAAAAAGGTGTAAAATTGAGTGAGTTCTTTGGTTTCTAAGGAGGAAAATTGTTTCCTGTGTCTTGCTGGCATTTCAATATATATGCCAGTGTTTCCGGAAGACAATGGTTTTCTTAAGGAATGCTGTGGTCATGACAGTTTACCCAAACTGGAGAGTATTTCTCTCTTTGGTGAAGCTATGTGTTTGGGGAGGCTTTGGCCTTATTTATTGGTTAACCTCATAGTTTTAACACCAGTTCTAGCCTCTTTCTCTTTTTGTATTTTTTCTTTTCCTTCCTCAATCCAGAATACCTACTGATACACTTTCCCTCATAGGCCAATCCAATAGACCTGCCCAGTAGGCAGGTAGCCTTTCTCAGGTGACAGGCACTGGAGTAGGTTACTCCATCATTCCCACAGAGATACTGTTCAGAGGAGGTGGGCTCTGGGCAAATGCGGTTACATGTCACACAGTAGGCATTATTAGTCTGGTCCACCACGCATGTGGAGCTGCCTGGACAGAAAACATCCCGACAGGTCTCTGAAACAAAGAGGGAAACACACATTAATAGGCATCTTCTGGTCCTTAGGGACCGAGCATTTGATAGTATCAAGGAAATCATGAAGCATCCAGCTTTCAGAAACGTACTCTGGGAGCCCTGTGGTTTTCAAAAGAAAACTATGATTCTAGGTTGGTCCTTCAGTGTTTTAAGGAGTCTTCAGAAGTTAGAAAGGGTTCCTTTATTTGGTATCATCCTTATTAGGCTATCACTGCAGACTACACCATCCCGCGGGGGTCTTGCAGTGGGTCTATCTCAGGTAGAAAGCTGGGGGAGGGGCCGGGTAAGACCTACTTTTACATTTGCCCTGGTACTGGACTTCCAGTTCCGGCTGCTCTTTACATCTGGCCTTGAGGAGTGCACATTCGTTGCGGTAGGTTTTTCCGTCCAGCCCACAGACTGGGCCTTTCCAGGTGATGTTAGAACAATCTGGGGCGCAGACGCAGCGGGGTTTGTTCTTCTTGTTCATTCGGCATTTTTTCCCGGGCCCACAGTCCACGTTCTCGCACGTTTCTAGCAGTTGGAAAGATGCAGGGATTAAAACCGGGGCCAGGCACCATGCAGGTCAGCCAGGAGGGCTGCGGGTGCCTCGCGCAATCGTGCTTGCCAGCAGTCCGAGCCCAGGGGCTCTCACCCAGAAGTTGAGGAGGGGCAGGTGTGGGGGACAGTGGGCTGCATCCCATACCCAGATCTCTCTCAAAGTGCACGGGTTGGCTGGCTTCACCACCACATTTGGCTAAGAAGTCCGAGAACCTCTGTCGACCTTGTTTTGCCTGTAGTATGTGACACCCAAGATTAAACCCGGATGGCTTACCAGGGCTGGGGGTGGTTAGGTGGATCCCACGAACAAAGGTCTCCCAGTCCCAAACCCCAGCTGGGCACTGGGAGGGTAAGACGCCCTCTACTGAGGGCCTACAAATTGGGGAGGAAGAGCCCTACCTTTACAGGGGATGCAGTTGGGGGCGCCCCCATTGAAAATCATCCACTTGAAGAGCGTGTTGTCATTTACGTCCTCTTCGGTCCATGAGGTGCTCAGGCGGCCGGTGCTGCAGCACTCCTCCTTGGTCAGTTCTGTCTTGTACAGGACCTGGCAGCGGCCGTTCTTTGCTTGGCGGAGCCAGCAGTTCCCAGCTGCGGGGAGACAGGGGCGGGGAGGTGGGCGAGTGAGCAGTGGCGGGGTAGGGGGAGAGAGGCGACGAGCCGGCAAGGGAAGGAGACCCGGCGGGGATGGGGAGGGAGTGAGCGTGGAGGAGGAGAGACGGGAGAGAAAAGCAGAAAAGCAGGAAACAAATCGGAGGGAGTGAAGGGGTGGAGAAAGAGGGGGAAAAAGCCAGATTGAAGAGGTGGGAGGTGGGCGAGGGGGAGGGAAGGCGAGAGCGAGAAGCCAGAGCGCCCCAGCCATATCAATGTCAGTTACCAGTGACCCAGACACAACACGTGCAGCTTGCATTGACTTTTACTAGACTGTTTACTTTTATTCGTCCCATTTCATAACCTGCAGCGACTCGAAGAGCAGATTAAAGAACCTGACAAAAACAGGATGCGACGGGTGTTTTTACATGTTGCATTCATGTAGGCGGTACGAGTATTATTTGTGACAGGGGTTAAGAAAGTAGGAGAACTTGAGAGAGAGAGAAAGAAAAAGAAAGGGGGAGACAGAGACCGAGACAGACAGACAGACACACACACAGACACACACACAGACACACACACACACGCACACACACACACGAACAGATCAAGCAAAAGGCACTTGTGAAAAATGAAAGCAAAAAAGCAACCGGGCCCTGCCCGGCGCTGCCCCGCGCGGCCTCGAGGCGCAGCCCGCCCGACGGGCCGTTTTGCAATCCGCCAGACCCGGAGGACGCCCGCGGCCACCGCGATCTTTCGAAATCTCCCAGGGCTGCTTTCCCCGGCACCCCGGCAGCGCCTCGTCCCGAAAGGCGGGCAACTCAGAGTAGCGCGTCGCAGACGGCTAGGGACAGTGCCCGGGGGACAGTTTACAACACACACAAAATGTTAACGCTAAAGCCAGGAAAGTTACAAGTCTGCCTCAAGAAAAGAGTAGGGGGGAAACAAAAGTGGGGGGGAACTTCCTACTGTTTCATGGTTTTATATACATGTATGTGTGTATACACACACCCCTATCTCATACCTACCAAGAAATCTTTGCAAGTAATTTCTCCCCCTTCCTCCTTTTTAATGTTCGGATTTTGGTCAGGAAGATTTCTCATGAATCATCCATATAACTTTAACAATAATTGGATCGCAAGCTGCTATTATTATTTTAAAAAATTCTACCCAAAGACTAATTGAAAGAAACAAATCTAATTTTTAAAGCTTTAGAAATTTGCATCTCAGAATTTAAATCAATTGTGAGCTCCTCACTGTTCTACAGAAAGTTAACAGTCAGAGGAATGAGGCAAAGGGGAAAAAACTGTAAACTACTCAAAAGAGTCCGGGGCAATAATTTTTTTTTTTTTTTTTTTGCAGGGTTGGGGGGAGGGGGTTGGAAGAAGCATCCACTAGGCAGAAAGCTACTTCCCTCTAAAATTTTCGGCACCCACATTTCCAAGTTTGGGCAAAGTTTCTGAAACCACGTCCCCCAGCCACCGAAGCAATTTCAGTATCTCCCCCTCCCCACCCAGTCATTTTTTTAAGGTATCCACAAGACATAGGAGGGAGGGAGGTTAGACTGCAAATGGGTCGACTGAAATCTCCAGGCTACTGATGCTTGTCCCCTTCCTCAGAGCCAAACAGGGGAGATAACATCTGAACTCATTATGTCCAAAACTTGGAGCATCTAACCCTACCTACTGAGAGAGACTCCAGCTCACCCCCTTTCCTTTTAAAGGATAACCGCGCTCCAAACTCGGCTTCAGGTCCTAAAGTGTCACTGCCTTTAGTTTTCCCACTCCTCTCCATCCCGGACTCGCTAAGTTGGTCCAACATCTTCCGAGAGCAGCGTTGCTCAGAACAGACCCAGTGGAGACGACCGAAAAGTACAAACCCCTGCCCTGTGCCGAACCTCCCAGCGCATCCCCCCTTGCTTACCCTGGGCACTGCGGTCCTCCATGAACTGGCAGAGCAGCAGCAGCAGGAGGCAGAGCCCGCCGGGCTGGTGCCTGGGACGGACCATCCTGGGGGCAGGCGCGGGGCGAGGAGCGCGGCGGCGCGGGGAGCGGGCGCGGCGGCGGGTGGCTCGGGCAAGCGGCGCGCGTCACAGAGGCGAGCGGCGGAGGGCGCAGCGATCCCGGCGCAGCCCCGCGCTCGCCGCCGGCCGCCCGCGCGATTCAATGGACGTCAGAAGCCGGGCGCAGCCGCGCTTTAAATCTAGACGGGGGTCTCCGCGGTTTGCGGTGGGCGGTCTCCCAGTGTGTGGGGCAGTGGGAGGGCGGCCGCGAGCGAGGGTGTGCGCGGCTCCTTGGGGGTGGGGAGCTTCTAAAAGTTCAGTGTGAATCAGGTGACATTTCCCACCTTCTGGAAACCCTTCCCAATTATCTGGTGGAGGTGCCCGAAATCAAAGCTGCAGGAGGGGAATCGCCGAGTTCTTATTTGCGTAGGAGCGAGAGGGAGGGGGCAGGCGACCGGGGCGGGGGAGTGGGGAAGAACACCCACTTCAAGTCCTGCACGCCGCCGCTCGCTGGTAGCGCCGGCGCGCCGGGGGTGGCGTGTGTGTGTGTGTGCGTGCGTGTGTGCGTGTGTGTGTGTGTGTGTGTGTGTGTGTGTGAGAGAGAGAGAGAGAGAGTGTGAGTTTGTGTGTGTGTGTGTGTGTGTGTGTGTGTGTGTGTGTGTGTGTGTGTGTGTCTGGTGGGGGCGCGCTGGGGGCTCTGGAGGCGGCGGCGGGCGGAGCGGAGCTGGGCGGCTGGGCGGGAGTTGGTCTCCGCACCGGCGCTCCTTCGCTCCAGGAAGACTTTGCAAAACGCCCGAAGAGCCCTGAGCTGCTGAAATATCCCGCTTGAGGTCGGGTCGCTGCCGTTTTAGGCCCCCGCAGTCTGGGCGCGGGACCCCGAGACGTTTTGTCTCTGGGTCTGCGCGTGCCGAGCGCTGCGGCCACCCGGAGCCCAGAGGTGTGTCTGGGAACCCCGGCCCCGGCACCTTCCACCCCGGCTGAGCCGGGCCGAAACGCGGCCCTGGGTCTCGACGAGTCAGAAGCGAACAAAAATGTTGAACACCTCAGCCCCGGCCTCTCCCCCCCCGTCACAGTCTCGACCCTCTCGTTTTCTTTTCTCCCCTTTCACTTCGCCGCTTCTGGAGTCGGAACCCGGAGCGGGGGCGCCGACGCAGGCGGTCTACCCCCCTTCCCCGGCTCGGAGGCTCCCCAGTTTCCGTCCTGTGTGTCTCCGTCTCTCCCAGTCTCCTTCTCAGCATCCCCCCCGCCTCCTTTCCCTCTTTCCCTCTTTCCCTCTCTCTCCGTTCGCGGAATAAAAAAGATTGCAACATCGATAATGAACTTCTGTAGCCTCCGTTTATTAAGCACAGTGCCTGGCATTCTTCGCTGAAAGTTGGCGGGTCTCTCATTTATAACATTTTTGGCACCGCTGAATGAAACTGAGGAGGCGATATTTCCTTTTATATAAAACGATTACTTCACGGAAAATGCTATATTGTTTATTCCAAAGCTGCCTTTTAAATTTCTATTCTTTTCGCTTCTGGAGCCCGAAGGACAACAGACAGCGAAGTATGCAGACAAAATTCTTGGACATTCGCAGGTCACTGGGATTTGTTCTACGGATTTCAAATCCGCCCCTCTTCACGCCCCCAACCTCCCCCCGCCAGATCGCCGCCCCCCACGCCTTCTCTCGTCCTCCCACCCCCCATCTTCCACCACCCCCTCCCACCCCCTCCACAACTGCAAATAACTCAGTGATAACAGATTTTTTTCCACCAACTGCAGGAGATAGTGCTAATCTTTTAATAAAAGATCCCATTACAATGGGATCTGTCTGGACAGACTATAATAGATCCCGAAATACAGCCGTGCTAATATTAGAAGACAGTTGTTTGGGTGCCTCTCAGACGGGCCCAAGCCCCCCTTTGAAAGTGGGCATGAATCACAAAGCCCCGCGGCCGCCGCACCTGCACCGCGCGCATTCGGTGCAGCAGGCTGGTAAAAACGGGTGACCTCGCCGCTGCTTTTCGCTTTATAATTACCGTCCTGAGGACGGGAGGGGAGGGGCGCGGGCGGTCGGGGCGGGGTGGCGCTGGCTTTTTGCTCACTTCAGACGGCTCTGGGGGCTCCACATCCTTCTTAATCTTTCGGATTTATTCTTCCTCTCTCTCTCTGTGTCTTCCCTCTTCTCTCTTTCCCTCCCGTCCGCCCAACCCTTCTCCTCTTTTCTCTTTGCCTCCCTCTTCCCCGACTCTGCTCGTACTCTCCCCCCTTCTCCCTCCCCTCTTGCTTTTCCACTCTTCCCTCCAATGCAGCATTAATGTAGAGTTGTTTAGTGCCCTCTAATGGCCGACGACATTAACAATTAATAGCAAACTGTCCCCTTTGCAGGAGCCGACACTCCATGGCAGAGTTCCAAAGTTGAATTTATTTCTTCTTTATTCAGGCAGATGGATATAGTGCTTATATAGTAATGTGCTGAGGGAAAGTTTGTTTTCTCCCTTTCAAATCCTCTTTCCCAGGGAAAACTTAGTTGAAGGAAAGGGGAAAGCTAACAATTATTGTTACTCGACCATTTTTTTTGGGGGGGGCGGTATAGATTTGTCTTTTAATAGCAGCAAGAGACACAGCTTCTGTTTTATCAAAGTTTATCAAACGTGTATCTAGGGTTGGAAAATAAATTCAATATTCTAAATACACAAATTATCTTAGATGGTAGGTGGTTGGATTTCGTGGCAGTGTTACCAATAGCCATTAAACACTTTAAGACCCAAATGTGATTATATGATTTTATATTGTCCCCAGTTTAAATACATTTATTGGTCCTGAGTCTTCTGTAGCCTCTGGAAGCTGAAATTTCTCACTTTAGGACCATACAAAACATTTACATTTTGCTCATGCCTGGTTGTATATGAAGTCATCTTGCCTAGAGGAACGTGGGGTCATATATTAATGCATAGTTTATTTTCTCAATACTTTTGGGAAGATTGTTTTAAAGACCATAAAATCCTCATATTTTATAACCATATAGCAATGAAAATAGTGATGTAACCTGCATGTTCTCATTATGGTTTAACTTATTCATTTGCATGTGCACTTAGAATATAGTGATATAAGAAGAGCATACCCGATATGACTTTGAGGGGCGTGGGGGGAGAGTGGTCCATGTGGCTAAATGAAAATTAGAATAAAGGCAATTTTGAGGGTTTAATCAAAAGAATATTTTATCTGGACTTTTGAGTTTTTGGTTTATTCAGATAGTTATTTTAGTTTGTGTATATAGAAACAACTCATGTCACAGAACTTTCTGAATTAACTTAATCCAAGGTATGACCACACAATTCCAGGATGATGGGTAAAAAGTAAAAATTCTGTTGCTATTTTATTATCTGTCTACATAATGCCAAGTGCTCAGACCAGTCATTTGACTAAATTGACTGCATTGACTAGTTGCTTTGGCATCATGTGATTTTCTAGGCTAGGCCAAAGCAGACACAGTAGCTCTCATTGTAAAAATGCCACCACTCACAGGAGTGACCCAGAGTACCAGAGGAGTACCAGAGGCAGACCCAATACAGGATTACTTTTCTCTGCAGAGAGGGTGGCTCTAAGGGGTCAGGGTTGAGGTCACAGGCAAACACAATGTGGAAAACATAAGTGCTGTGTTGCTTTTGCCTTTGTGAATAAGCAGTTTGGTGTTTGTTTAGTGATACAAGCTCATCCTGTTTTTCAGCTGCACCTTGGATAGTATTGATCTGTTTGGGAAAATGTCTGCCCTGAATCGGCACAGATCAGTCATCAGGATTCTTGTTGGCCTGGCTTGTTTTCTGACCAATTGGAGGAAATGAGACACAGGTCAATATTGGTCTCATATGGGCCTCCTGTGAGCATCAGCAAGAGATCCATCCCATTTCTGGGGTATGAAATGGTATCACACCTGTTCAGTGACATCACAGAAAAACAGCTGCTATTTCTTTTACTGTTTTATCTCCTGTAAATGTTAAATATTGGGTTTGTAGATGTATAAATGTCAAGGGGACATTTTAAAATAAAAATGCCTTCTTTCAGTTTTGTTGTATGCTTCCAAGTTGGACTTCTTATTTTTTTTCTTTCTGCTCTGCCAAAAAAGTAAATGTAAATTATGAGAAACACAATAGGACCACTTTGTAACTGACTTTCTGGGCAGCACACAAAAGGACTGCTGTTCTCTGATTGTTTTTTTGTCAGCTTCAAAAGCTATCTTCCTTCTAAAGTTTATAAATTTAAAATATTAGAGTTTAGCAAATGATTCAATCTAGCTCCCAAGATACCTATTTGAAATCATATGAAATTGTTGTTTGAACCAGAACTGACCTGGTTAAATTTTAGTCCCTAAAAAAAGAATATGGAAAGGGTGGGTGAGGTTACATATGGACAATTTGGAAGTCAGGAAGTGAGTAGCTTTTACTTTTTTGCCTTAAAATTAAGTGTCAAACTTTTTTGAAGTTAGGTATTTTCCAAAATGATACTAAGATTTCAAATGCAAACAATCAATCTTGATTAAGCGACAGAATTTAAGCACTGGAGAAATACGCTGAAGTGTTTTTAAAATCAGATTTTGTTCTTCTAGGTACAAAACCGGTTACTTAATGCGTCATAGTCTTTGGTGTTGTGTAACTTCATGGGCTAGATGAGGATTGTGTGGGGGGTAATAGTTCTGTATTGGCTGAATTGTTGCAGAACTAAAAAGTTAAGAAATGTGAGTACATAAAAGCAATGTTTATCCAAGAGGTCCAAACCATCAGGTAATTACGTTTTTAAAAATGTCATTAGAATATATGTCTTTTTTAAATATAGTACTAAGAAAACAATCAATTGATTACCTGAACTTTTCTCGTTTCAATGGTGCTTTTATGTTATATAGAGTCAGTCAATCATGGACAGCCCTTTTCTTTTTCTTTTTTAAAAATTTATTTATTTGTTTTTGGCTGTATTGGGTCTCTGTTGCTGCGCGTGGGCTTTCTCTAGTTGCAGTGAGCGGGGGCTACTCTTAGTTGAGGTGCACAGGCTTCTCGTTGTGGTGTCTTCTCTTGTTGAGGAGCACGGGCTCTAGGCACATGGGCTTCAGTAGTTGTGGCACATGGGCTTAGTTGCTCAACGGCATGTGGGATCCTCCTGGACCAGGGATCAAACCCATGTCCCCTGCATTGGCAGGTGATTCTTAACTACTGTGCCACCAGGGAAGTCCCTATAGATTTTTAATTAATCATCTTTCCTGAAAGGGGAATTCATTCCAAATCTAATTTGTACTTTGCCTTTGCACTTTATAAGTATGGATCTATTTCTGGGTTCTCTGCTTTGTTCCACTGATCTATTTGTTGATCCTATGTCAGTCTCACATTGTCTTGACTACTGGAACTTTATAGTAAGTAAGGAAGTCAGGTAGTGTAATTCCTCCAACTTTATTCTTTTTCAAGATTGCTTTGGATATT